CAGAGCTCCTAAATATATGAGGCAAACACTGACAAAATTGGAAAGAGAAAAAGAAAGCTCTACAATAATAGCAGGAGGCTTCAATCCCCCTCGTTCAATAATGGATAGAACAACCAGACAGATCAAGGTACATAGAGGAAGTGAACAACATTATAAACCAACTGGAACTCTTGCTAACAATACACCCAACAACAGCAGAATACATTTTTCTCAAATAAACATGGAACATTATCCAGGATAGACCATATGTTAAGCCACAAAACAAGTCTTAATAAATTTTAAAAAGATTGAAAACATTCAAGATCTCTTTTCTGATCATAATGGAAAGAAACTAGAAATGAACTTCAGAAATAAAACTTGAAACTCCACAAATATGTGCAATTAAAAAACACACTATTAAACAGCCAATGGATCCAAGAATAAATAATAAGGGAAATTTGGAAATTTTGTAAGACAAATGAAAATGAACACATGGCATACCAAATCTTATGCGATGCAGACGAAGCAATGCTATGAGGAAATTTATAGTTGTAAATGCTTACATTAAAAAGAAAGATTTCAGGCCAGGCACAGTGGCTCGCGCCTGTAATCCTAGCACTATGGGAGGCTGAGGTGGGCGGATCATTTGAGCTCAGGAGATGGAGACCAGCCTGAGCAAGAGTGAGGCCCTGTCTCTACTAGAAAAAAATAGAAATTAGCTGGACAACTAAACATATATATAGAAAAAATTAGCCGGGCATGGTGGCTCATGCCTGTAGTCCCAACTACTTGGGAGGCTGAGGCAGTAGGATTGCTTGAGCCCAGGAGATTGAGGTTGCTGTGAGCTAGGTTGACACCACGGCACTCTAGCCCAGGCAAAAGAGTGAGACTCTGTCTCAAAAAAAAAAAAAAAAGAACGAAAGAAAGAAAGGTTGTAAATAAACAGCCAAACTTAACAGCTAATAAACTGGAAAAAGAAGAGTAAGCTAAACTCAAAGCTAGCAAAAGGAAGGATATAATAGAGATTAGAGCAGTGCTAAATCATATAGAGAATAGAAAAACGATAAAGAAAATCAGTGAAACCAAGAGTTAGCTCTGTGAAATGATTAATAAAGCTGATAAACCCTAAAGCAGATTGAATAAGAAAAAAGAGAGAAAGCTCAAGTAACTACAGTCAGAAGTCAAAGGGGGCATTATTACCAATTTTACAGTAAAAAGGATCCTAAGAGAGTACTGTGAGCAATTGTACATCAACAATTTAGATAAACTAGATAAAATACAGAGATCCCTAGAAGCATATAACTTACCCAAATTGAACCATGAAGAAATATAAAATGTGAATAGAACAATAGTGATCAAGAAGATTTTAGATTAACTCTGTAACTAAAAAAAAAAAAAAAAAAA